TTAATGGACGGGTGACAATCATTGAAACGTCTTAACAGCTCATCCAGATGAACATGTTTCGTCGCAAATAAGAAAAATGTCGTCGATGTACCTTTTATACAAACAAAGTTTCGAAATTATTTATTTAAGCGGCCCGTTTTCTAGCTTTGCCACAAAGATATCAGCCAGGACAGGGCCTAGTGGAGACCCCATCGTGACTCCGTCCGTCTGATTATAAGTTATATCACTGAATCTAAACTGCACACTAAACTTACATCTTAATATCAGTTCTTTTAGGTGGCTCGTAGGTAATCCAATTTTAATATCATTAGAATCAATGTAATCACATAGATAACAAACGGTTTCAACAAGTGGAACATTGGTAAATAAAGAACAAACATCGAGCGATATCATACGCTTACCCGTTACGTTGATGTCTCCGATGCAGCGAACAAAACCAAATGTGTCGGGAAGACTATATTTGCATAGATTTGATTTCATCGGTTCAAGCATTTTTACAAGCCACCTTGGTAATGAGTGATAAGGTGAATTAAGCATATCCAGTACTGGACGAAGAGGAAGACCATCTTTATGCACCTTCGGCAGACCATATAAACGAGGCATGTTTGAACCAGGTGGTCTAAGCTGCTCATACATATCTGGGGTAATTAAAGATTCTTCTTTCAATTTTCTTAAGAGTTTTGATATTTGATTTTAAATATCTTCTGTTCTATCCTTCTGATCTCTGGATTTTAGAAATTTATTATCATCGCTGAGAATTAGGCATAGTTTATCAATCTAATCCAGCCGATCCAAAACCACGATATCAAATCCTTTGTCTGGGCGTACAAGTATAATATCTTTGTTGTTTAGTAGTTCTTTCAATTGTGCTTTGTGCTCTTTGGAAACAATACCTCGTTGTCAATATGGTGTTTTCAAATATTGATAGTAACAATGTAATAATGTGGATTTGAAACGTTTGAAGCTTTTGGTGGACGTCGGGATTAAGTCTAGTCTGGCCTATAAGATTTTCAAATTGCACTTTTGCGTCAAGTTCTCTGGTTTTAGATGAGGCACAACAAAACTTTGGTCCCAAAGACAAGATTTGTAACTGAATGTTTGACAGGGTTATACTGGAGCGGTTAAACACGTATCCATAATCTGTAATGAAGTCGTTGAAAAGAAATATTTCTTCGCTGATACATGCCTTGTTCTTGTTAATGATCTCTTTTATCGAAAAGGGAAAGGTGTCAAACGAAGCCTACATTATATATGTGGGAGAATACTAAGTTTGGAAATTATGGAACATACTGATAATCGTATTAGTTTGCTGCTCTAATATAGTGTACAAGATCCAGGGAATTTAATGTTTTCACTAACCTGTGACCAAACAAAATTATTGACGCTTTGGTTGTTAGGCTATCCCAGTCCACTGATGGTACATTAAAGTCTCCTACAACTTGAAATCTACATCTTTCTCTCCAGGGAACTGGCTTTTTCAATGAGAAGTCTTGCACATCACAATGAGGGCCACGATATGCTTCAGCCACACTGGTATCTTGTTCTTTGCATTTCAGTCACGACGCAGCATTTCACATGTCCTTTTTTATGTAGGAACCTTTCTATGACTTACACAGTTTTGGTGCTGTTTACTCAGAGGATAACACAGAAAGCTATATGTGATAACCTGCCATTTATACAAACGAGAGCCTGTAATTAAGTTTAATCAACGCTGATCTTATAAGAGATTCAGATCTCTGAAATTTTAATTGTCGAGCATTTCTATATTTATTGCACTACCTAGCATGGTTGATTTATTCAGGAGACTAAGTGCATTTGTATTCCAAACCATAAAATCACTTCGACAAATTTTTGCCCTATGTATAGAGGCTTGAGGATTACTTGTTCCTAAAGCATGACTACTCGAAAGCCCACCAATCTTAGATCCTTCTCTTCCGCTGCTAATCTAGATTTCAGTTCTTCATCTGCTCTTTGTTTTTTGATTCTGTCAGCAAGCGACAGTTTCCTACGCATGAAATGCTCTAGTTTATTATAGTGTATGGGTCACCCTGAAAATAAGATCTCCCTCCTCCGTTGATTTGAAGATAGCTTTAATTGGTCGAAATCTGCTTTTGGGAGGGACTGCCGTTTCTTTCCACAATTTGCATATCTTGAGTAGGATGACGCGTGGTATGTTTCATGTTAGTATCTAGTTTGCCAGACTTTGGACCTTATCAAGGTCATTTTGAAGACGGTAACATGGTTCTACATTCATATTTTCTTCAAATCTACGGAAGATTACAGACTTTCTGTGGAGTTCTGCTTTATCCTTGCTCTGTTGTTTGGTGACAGTTGGTCCTCGGAATATGACTGGTTTCTTAGCATGCAGCTTACCTTTGACTGTTTGCCATTTCTCACAGTCGTTGATGATGGAAGTTTGACCAAGGTCTAGATCAGTAACCTTGACTCTTTACAAGCTCAAAATGGAAATTCATCCTTTGTCTCTCGCTAGACTAGGTAGGAGCTGCAGCTCGCAACTTTCTTATTTGACACTGATAATACTCGATCTCTGTCCTTTTCATCGGAAGCTAACCGGGTCTTACGACTGGTAATTTTCAGTTTGTATCTCCCCAGCCGGTAAACACTTTGTGGGCACTTTCAAATTTTTGGGCAAAAAACGGCACAAAACAATTTTGGTTTACTACCGACAATACATCATCGAGCTAAGATCCCAGCTATGTAGAGGGCGTTGGAGAAGGTGAGAACCTGAAGATTCTCCATTCGCCAAAGTTTGTGCTACATTTTCTCGCCTACATTCAACACCTTGTTAGTATTTTCCCCAACCAACTTTCACTCTGCCACGGGACAATTTTGGGGTTCTGGAAAGCGATTTTTGTGTTAACATATGCATCATAGCAATTAAAATCATTAGCTTTTTGTAAACCAACATTTTTATGATACCATTCGAAAGTGTACTTGCTCCTTTAGTCACCCTGCGAATGTCCCAGCAGTACGGCAGACAAAGTCACATATTCGTTGCATTACTGGTTTTTATGCTGCAGGCATGAAGCTTGCATAGCTATCACGATACAACCATTTGCATTCTTTACACTGGATACCAGAGGAGACTGCGATGTGGCAATCCAGCATGCCACAAGCATTCCTGCGACACCTTAAGTCTACCACCTTGCACAGATGTAGGTCACAAGAAGATTTCTCTTACTTTTTATATACTGGAATCATTAGTTAAGCAGTCAGGTCTGAAGGCACCACTTCTGATTCCCATACACTACTTAGTACCTCCGTTATTGTAATCAGCAGCTTCTTAACTCTAACCTTCAGAACTTTGGGTGGTAAGCCTTCAGGTCCTGCAGCTTTGGATAGTTTGTTAGAAACATCTTTCCCAACTACTATCAAAGTTGGGGGGGCACATGTCCACGTCCCATTCATTTTCAGGTTGGAAATTGGGCAAGTAAAGCGTTGCTCTGAGTCAGTTGACCTGGGCTTCAAAGTGTTCCGTCCAACGTTCTCGCCGCCCATTCCAAAAGGTTGTAAGTCTCTCATCCTTCTCAACAGTGGTTCCATTAAACATCTATACTTCCTGCCGGTGTACTTAATAAACCATTTCTCCCTCTTTCACTATCCATAAATTCTCGCAGTGAATGCGACGACGCTTTATGTTTTAGGCAGTTCCGCTTCTCACTGTAGTTAGAGCCATCTGAGATGAGTCTTCTCTCATCAGCCAGTTCGGATGAAGTTGTGGGAATGCAATGACGTTTCCTAACATTTGGATGCAGACTACAAACTGTCTTTACCGCTGTTTCTACAGCAGACCTAATATCACTCCAGATTTCCTCAGGATAAGCATTGCCGTCATGTTCTTACGAATGCCTAGCTTTCTCCTCTCTGAATGCGTACTTTACATTCTAATGCGTTTCGAGCCTGTCAAATATACGGTTATGCTCCAGGACTGATCTGAAGCTAATCCTAGTTTAAGAATAGGCAACGAAGTGTGAGAATACGTTTATTACTTGAATCAGCTCGAACGGGTTGGTTGTTGACTAAATCCTGCATCGAAAACAGAAGACTCATTTAGCACTTACCAAACTGCATCATCCCTGGTCCCGCTGAAACATCTGAATACTTATTAAACGAGGAGTATTCTGCACTGCAGTTCATTCTATCTTGTTAAACGGCTGTGGGACATGGCCATTAAAATTAAGAGATATAAAGAGACTACAGGCTTTCGACCATAGGCGTCTTTGTAGCTTCGCTTGCGTTTGGTGGAATCACCAGGTTAGCACTGTAGAGAAAGGTACTCGGCAAAAAAGGAAAGGGATTCTATAACGTTGTGAACCTAACCAACTGGGGTGGTTTAGACATGTGCTGCGCATGCTGAGCTACCAACTCTCTTGGTGTGCCATATTAGGAGAAGATGGATTAGGTTGAAAAAAGGGTTGAAGGTGACCAAACTAAGACGTCTTCTAAAGCCTGAATATTTTGAAGAACCCTGAGTTTTAGATTTCCTCTTCCTCATACATCTTTGTCCATCTTGATATCAATCTTTCCCAGCCACTCGTGGGAACTTGAACCGATGCGCTTGTAAGTTAGGTTCTACGTTGATTTCGTTTATGTGTCTCCATAGATTTCGGCCAAACTTGATATAAGATAGGCCTTACACAAGCAGGATTACACAAAGTAATGACTCTGCTTTAAAAAACAAAGCAAATATTTTTAGAAAAGCCACAGTCAGTAAAAGGACCTGTCAAAAGCTGTCTACACTGGGAACCAAGTACTCCAGACTAGTAGGTTAGCAACTATAGGAAACCTAGCCTAAGGGGTTTCTGTCCTGATTTAGTCAAAAATTGTTTCTGTCAGTGCCAGCAGTACAATATCCTTTGATGTGTGAACACGAAAATGCCAAAATTTTAACTAAGCCTGGAAAAGTCAACCTCTTTTCAATCTTTTACACACATTCTAATGTATCTGTAACGACCAGCCGTTGATATGTTTTCGTCTAGTTTCTAGGTAGATACGTTGTTGCGAAGGGCGCGTAAAGCAGTGTGAGTCTAATGGTGGCCACGAGAATCTGGAAGGGAAAAAAGGAAGAGGAAAAAGGTGAGCCGACGTTATAGCAAGTACATATCTACTTCTATTTTGAGGCATTGATTAACTGCATCAACAAAATGTTCGAAACGAAGCTTTTAACAACTGGGTTAAGACACCTAGATATATCTTTATCAAAGAATTTGACTGCTGTGCAACACAACCGAAAAACAAGGAAAACTGTTTGCGCTAAAGCAGTTATCTTTAGGTCGTTATTTACAATAACTTGTGAGTCTAATCTAAATTCTTTGGTATCGGCAGGTCACTTGTTGAGAATCCACCAGAGTAATCACTCCTACAGAATATGACTTCACTTTTGCTAAAACTAATTTTAAAGCTTCATTATATAGGCCACTCAACCAGTTCATTCAGGTCAGCTTGGAGTGGGGACCTGTCATCATCGTATCTTGACGTTATTAGTGAATAACAATGATGACGACTCAAGCATCTGTAGTACTCCATTAACGTGAAGAAAGAATTATAGTTTAAAGGTAGCACCTTCAGGAAAATTACAGGTTACAGTTTACGGTTCTTACGATATTCCTTCCACTTTTACTTTTTGCTTTCTCTCTTGTAAATATTCCCCAATCCACGTCTGAGTCTCAATTTCATCCCAAGTTTCTGAAGCTTATTCATTAACTGTCTGTATGAGATCATATTAGAAGCCTTACTAAGGCCAACAGACACAATGTCCGCTAGTAGTTTGCCGTCCCTCACTTTAAATCAGTACTCACTTACCTGTTGTAGATTTGTCGATTGAAAGTGATCAACCTGAAAGCCACGTTACTCCTTTGTCAGTAGATTATATGTTTCTGAATGCCTAATTGTTTATCACACAATATCTTTTTCACCTTCTTTACGATGATACTAGTAAGACCAAATTGTTGGTAGTTGGTGACTAGTTGTCTGTTACTGACCTTAAACACGGGACTAAATGTAGCATCCTTCTGATGCTCAGTGGGATGTGCCTGGGATACGAACATGTTGAATAGCACAGTCAAGGAGCATCTCCAGTATCAGCCAACGGGATCGGAATTCTGGGGTTTAGTTCATTTGGTTCCAGTTACTTTGCAGGTCTTGGGTTTGTGATTATACGTAAGGCTGTAGCCTGCGTGATTCAAATAGATTCAATTAAAGAAGCGTCGATATCAGCATCCAGAGATGCAGCAGAATTATCAGCAGAAGAACCAGGGTAAAATGGTTAGATTGACTTCCTGCTTTAGCTGGGTCCCATCCGCTATAACTATGGTAGTACGGCAAGGCTCTTTTTCGAATATTTGAGAACAGCCTATTTTAAAGCTTAGACAATCATCCACTAGTGATCTTTAGTATGCTTTGTCATGTATATTGATGAGAGATTTACACTTCTTTCTAGCCTTACGGCATCTCAGCCCAAACGTTTACTATCTATCACTATGAATAAGTTAAAAATATCTTTTCTTCGCCTTAATAACCGTCGAGTTGACAGATCAACTTGAATTAGTCTGTGATGTTAGCCTAAGATTTCAGTTTTAATAATTGTATAAGTAATAGAATTGATTAGCATCACTAAAAATGATACATTTAGAGATTGTTGCTTGTCTTGTGTCAAAAATCAAACGGTTACTGCAAAGTCTTAAAAAGTGATATCAGTACGGCAGAACTTGCGACTACCAACTATTCAGCTGATTTCACTGGTAATAAAGAACACATGATTAAACTGGGAGATTTCTGACTAAGCACTCATCTGATATTCGCATAATAGTTTATTCTAAAAATCTATCATATCGTGCTCATGGATACGCTATATATATGACAATGTTTCTCCCACAGGTTTTTAAGAGTAGAGAGAAATAGTAATTATTTTCGAAGTCATTCTTCGTACTTTGGTTGCACTAATGCCCAAACAAAGTGCCTCTGACCTAAGGGAAAATCATCGGTCTACTACCAGGAATACTCTTGTACATCAAATGGCATGTAAACGGTAACGAAAACTCTAACAGCAAATCTAATTTGATGAGTGTTGGTTTTGATGTGTTCTCTGAGCTGAGTTGTTTACTTGTGGAGCTTTCAACGTCTTTCTAGACAACATCTTCAGCACTAACTTCAGAATATAAAAACATCCATAACATACTACAGGTTTCCAGATACTGGTCTAGCATATGCAGATTTTACAAGAAATTTAATCATTTGATAAAAGAAGGTCAGCAAACAAACAGACAGTTTAGAGAGTATGGTAAGCTTTTTGTGTGGTTTGTTTTTTCCTCTAAAACTGACCACACAGTCTTGAAATGAGGGCCAAAACCACGTGTATAGTGTACACTTGACTGCTACCGACCTCCTAAGCGGTTCTATTTTCTGTTTCACATTGTTGTTTTCATGTTCAAACCAAGTTTTTCACCCCTACTTCATCTCTTTGCCAGTGGTAAAGGCAACCTAGATTTATGTTGCGTTTTAACTTGTTTTAACTTTCTGAAAACGAATCGAACTTGTTTTATTAAAGTGGCAGTATTTGTGATTTGTAACGCAGAAAGGAAACCTGAAAATATACATGTTATAAACGTTTTGGCATTTTTGAAAAATGAACACTAGGAATAATTATGCACTGGAAATACATCACCATGCATCTTGAACCATACCTTTATCATGAAATAATCATTGGAAACACAGCGTGAGACAACATGGATGTATTATTTAATCCAATCTAATGACAGACACAGTTTCAATAAAAAAGGAATAAAAAGGGACAAAGAGTTTCTAGCTGAATTTCCTGAGCAAGAAGATTAAAAGTGACCAGCTAAACTATGATCACCCAGCTTCCGGAAATCCACGAGTGGTAATTTCAAAATTTCTATTGATTGTAACTGACTGATTAAACTTATAAGAAAGAAAAGATTTTCGGGTTCGGTAGCGGTCATTTCAAAAAGTCAAGGACAATTAAATAAGAACGCGTATGTGTGGGTCTTAGGACATTAGTAATGACCAGCTGTTGGTAGGTTTTCATCTAGCTTGTAGGTATTTTCGTGCAGTATGTAAATATTTGTATGTCTTGACCATTACTAATCCATGAGACCTTTTGCTAAATGGGAACATAAAATGCTTAAAATAAGGCATACAATGAATACCAACTCTGTGAACTGTTTGAAAACTTCTGGCTTGATGTTAGTATTATGCTCAGGCTATGGTATCAACAGCCTTTACGTTGAATACTACCCCCTTAAATAACAGATGATAACCTCTGACGCAAAAGTGTCACGAACTAGCGTAGTATACTACTTAACGACATTGACAGTTAGCAAACAATTCATCATGATCTGCAGATAATTCTTATGTGACTAGTGGCATCTATAGACTGAAACCAATGTTTCCTACTCACGTATTTTGATGTGCAGTACAAAAAATATCTGGTGTTGAAGAGTTAGGGGTAGTTATGAAGACTATCAGGTTATCCCTGGTTCCAAGCAAGTTAGGCAGTGCATATTTTATTTCTGCCTCTGATCCTTCAAGGAAAAGACTTGTTAAATAGATTCACCAGCTATCAACTAACTTCTTTAATAAAAGGAATTACATTTTCTCATAAATATAACTCAAATGCGCAAAAAATTGGAAATAATTGTCGATAAAATCTTAAACAAATGCTGAAGAGTGGACTGTTACTACATTGAATACCTTAATAGTTGATTTACATTCAAAATGGACAGCTTAAATAGCATTTTTAAAGTATTTACAAACTTCAAATGTTGTATATCTGATTTATTGAAACAGGCTATGACAGATTGTATCTGTTTGAAGAAATGGAGTTTGTGTAACATTGAATAACTTGTTGATGCAGTATTTGCCTTGTTAACTGAAGAATCTATTGACCGAAGTGCAAGGTCAAATAATAGTTTACTCACTATATGCACTGAAATATGATTATTTCTCTTCATATCAGAATAATCCGTGCCTAATTCCCTAATTGACAAGTCTCTGTATTACAGCTCTTCGTTTTCAGGTGCCGTACTAATATCTGCATTTATGTGGTTTTAGTTAGGTATAAAGAGTCTGTTAAAAACTTAAGATGTATTTCGTATCAGATAGAAAGCTTCAAGCAATACAGTTAAAGGGAGGAGTTTTAATTGTTCCAACTCAATACCCGGTTTCGTATTAATAAGTACATTATATATTTTAAACACTCAAAGCTTCAGTCAATAGAACGGTTAGCACAGTGCTCTAATTTCACAATAGATACACTCCCTGAAAATTAAGTGACTTTGGGATACAACTTAATTATTTCTGAAATACCATATCATTATATGCACCCTAATCTACATATTTTTTGTCATATTGTACTGTTTCCAGCAACACCATTTTCAGTTATTGACTTGAAATCACTTCCTTGGTTTAAATGCAAACAAGTTGGAGTGCCTTTAAAGGTCATCCTGGGAGATATTGAACTAAGCATTTGGGTTTCTTCGTCTTTACTTGAACGGTAATATTTTGTTCAATAAAGAGATCTTATGTTAGTTCAATAATTGCCAGCCTGTCTTTTAAATTGCTCATAATATCAGATAGGTGTTTTATCATATTATGTGAGACTGAAGCGTAAACCTGTGACCGTCAAGCTACCTAAATGCTATGATAATTTTCAGCAAGGGGTTAACAACCATCTAAACGCACAGTAAGTACCTAGATTTCTGGCGTACGACCTTTCCAACACTTTGTTTTATCTAAAAGTCACACTTTTCTTAGGCCTATCCACTTCAGTATTAATCTTATTACTTATTACTCGGATGAAGTTTGTGACAGTACTGTTTTCTCCGCTTTTAGATATGACAGCATAATTGAGTATGCAAGCTAACTTAAAAGATATTGGTTGGATGTATCATGTTGTACCACTGCGAAAGAATAAAGTCCCACAAGAAGTTCCACCAATATCACAAATTCCGAATATCGGTTTTATGCTGGAAGACGCTTATCCTGAAAAAAAGCATGCCATGTATTTTAAGTCAACTGATTCCCCATATGTTCAGTTATCTAAAATGGGAGGGAGACCAGATTTGTTATGCTTTAAAGAGAATGAGCGGAATCGCGGACCACCTATACCTTATTGTCGGTGTGAATGGTATTATTTAGAAGACAATGCATTAGAAGATAATCAAAACGCTACAACAGGGCCAAAACATGTTTTTAAAGCACCATTCTATATGTTAGATAGTTCAGTGTGCTCAACTAGCGAGAACGGAATCACAAAGCCAATTGTCAGCACTGAACCACCATCTATATCAACACCGAAGAAAACAAATAAGTTTGATAACTTACCGTCACGCAGACCTGGGTATGCGGAAGACAACAGAAAGCCAAGTAAAGTGTCAATAGCCAAATACGCACAAGACCAAAATGAACCAGTCAGATTTCCAAAGGTATGAAACTAAAAAGATGATGGTGAATGATAAAATATTTATAGTTTTGATAGCAAGCAGTAAATGTTTTCACTCCAGTGTGATTACCTTTTAACTAGGCCAGTGGAAGTTTCTGACTTATTTTTTTTGTTAATTCTATGATTCTAATCAGGGAGCCCGAGCTTTCACAAGTAAATAAGGCGAAAACTCGATGGTATATTGTGTTACTATTGTCACCTGGTTTGTCGATTGTCAACCTTTTTTAATTTATCTCTGTTTTGGGTTGGAATTCATCATGGACTGACATGAGTTGGAGGGACATTTGAAACTCGGTATCACTGGACAGCCGTTCCATCTTTCTATGGGACTCTTAACCAGTACGTACCTATGGCCCCACCCCTCCAGGAATCGAACCACGGACCTTCAGGCTCCGTGATCAGCACGTTACCGTTGAGACACTGGGTCGGGATACAACGGTCCATAATCCGTGGCGGGGTGATGCGTGCGCATTGCTGAGGAGTCCCGTACTAGGACGAAACAGCTGTCCAGTGCTCCCGGGTTCCCAATGTTCCTCCAACTGATGTCAGCCTGTGATGAATTCCAACCGAAAATCAATTAATAAACTTCCAAAAATCTCTAGATAGTATTTCTATTGCAGTCAATATTGATGCTGGAGGTGGATGCTGTCCGGGCATTTGTAACCTATGTCCAGATAGTCAACTTCAATTTTCGCTAGGTTAAAACATATTTCTTTTCTAATCATCGCTGATTGCAGTTATTCACAAGTGTCTGGTAGTGGTAATCTTTTGTTTATAGATCCTGAACGTCTTTTATATTCCAAGTTTTTCATTTACAGAATTTTAGCATTATTTTAAGTAGATACGTTACCGTAAATTTCAATGCGTATTTTTATTACTATCTGACGCTCATATGAATTCCTCAGTGAACCTTAGAAGGGTTCTAAGGTGCGTTTCGACAACTGGTATTTTCAAACAGAGTAGAACTGCTTTCGAAAGCATTGGAACTCACATCTAAAACTTTGAATTCGATAATTATGACGGTATAAAAGGGTTAAACTCAGAGTCTAATAAATTAACTACCGAAATGCCTGTGGCTGTGGCATATGATAAGCAAGATATTGGACCATAAAAATCAATATTGAGAAGAGTAATGTTTTTAATTATCATCTTTTGAACAACTTTTCTACTCCATGAACGTTTGAATGAAACTGTTCAGTTCGTCAGTGAAATGTTGGCAACTAGTTGTCAATCCATGGAGAAAAGCCTGTTACTCCTAAGTTTTTACTTCAGAGGTAATCTGAAATCAACTGTTTTTAATAGACAAGTTGCAACAGAGGTAAACATATTCCTAAACTCTCAATTTCTGTTTTGTTTAAATGTTAATGTTAAACCTTTACATATTTGAATCAATGACAGCTGTTCTAAAGGAGATAAGTGGCTTTTTTTGTCTATTACATGAACATGTATTCTGCAGAATGATGTAACGAAATGTAGTCTTACCAATTTGTCGAAACTTATCGCTAATGAAAACACCTCGGACTATGATTACTATCACAAACAATGGGAAGAAGTATAGAATTACTACAAAAATAAAAATTTTTGCATGCTGAAAAAATCACCATTCAAGAAGATAGCTATTGCTCCTGTTGGGAATGGTGGTAAATTTTAAAAGAGAGGATGTAAGTCACGCAAATATTAAAAGGATTTTCAGGACTCTTATGAAGATACTTTCGATGATGGTGTATTTTCAGTGTAGATAAACAGCATGGCATGCAGAAAGAGAAGGCTTAACAAGGTTTTATCCTTAGTTTTTGGTAATCGATACTGAAGTGACTTATCCATCTGTCCACTAAAAATATTTTCCTTTGAAATTAATTTCATTTACGTCTTTAAAAATGTAATTAAATATATGCTAGATCAGTTAAACAGATTTCCCACTGCCTGTCAGAAAAGTTAAGTTTAACATAAAAAGGTGACGATAGTGAGAAAACCAACAAAAGAGAATTTTCAGAGAAGGGAAATTAGACATGCAGAGACACATCTGAAGCCAATTTTGTCCCACCTAGTATTTTCCACATAGAAAACCAATGGCATCAGTTTCATAATCAGTGTGAACTCAGATCAGCCTGTTATTGTGAGAACTCTGCTAGACCAGCTACAAGGTTGTGATAAACAAATAAGCTCTTAATGGGAAATCAAATGTTGTTGTTTCGCTGGCACTGAGTAGGAAAGTGATTAACTATCTAGCTTCAAGATGAGACAAATCACCACTTTTTGCAGTGACATTGTATTGATTACTAGTCAATCTATCTCAGACATTCATAGTTGGACAGATTGATATTATTGATACTGAGTGATTATTGAAGGTGAAATGAAAATCTTGGCGGTGACAGGATCCCTTAACCACTGGGTCAGATTCTGCGGCAATTCAGGCTTTCACTTCACCTTCAACCACTATCCAGTACTAATCTTCCAAACTACAGCTATTTCAGATATTCACATTAATAAATTCGACATTTTTATGTTCATTAAACTCCATCGAGAAAACAAATATCTATCACTATATACCTGAAATAAATTATACACTCCTTTCTGTCAGAGAACTTCACTGAACACACAATGGAACAAATCAGAAACATAATTTTGTGAAGTACAAACAGACAAATCAATGTAAAACCTACGTTAATTCAAATTACCACAATTCATGGCAGTATACAAAAAGAAGTGGAGTGAAAAATAGTGACACTGAAGTAGACAAAAATGTATGAGAGAAGACAGGATAAATAGATGAAGGTTGATGAAGATATTCAAGACTCCAAAAGTTACAAAGAATCTATGCATTTGTTCCACTCTGACCAATTACCAACCAAATCGCCAAGACTTCCGGATTTGGCGACCCCAACCAGGTGGTCTGTCTCGCCTTGCATGACTTAGAACAGCAGGGAGATACTTTATAAACTATCAGTTGATCGGATCAGCGTAACCTCCATCGCTTCATTCAATTAAGTCACAAAAAATGGCCTTGACATATAGCACTGAAGCAGTAGAGGTCATTCGGTGATATAGTTGCATACCCCTTCTAGAAAACTGGATTTAAAATACGAACCAATGATGTTCAGCGCATGCCTACACACTCACTAAACGAGTAGTCTGGCTGAACTAAGACAAAGTAGCATGTTATTAATACCCATGCATAGTTAGTTTGCTTCCCTTCCTTTTGAATAACTGATGATTATGTCTCATGTGCCAGATTGCAGCTCATTTTGACTAGAGTGGAACAACACCAAAAGGTTGCAGGAATCAGGTGTCATTCTTATCTAATTTGCTTATTCCAGCAGTTTGATTTTATAATCACTGTTGAAGCTTTATGACACCTGCTAAGTGAATAACTCACTGGTCCTAACGTGCCAGCACCTTAAAATGAACCACCACAGGTCAAACACGTGCTGGATGTACTTATCAGTGGAGCTTCCTCTAAAAATAACAGCTAATTTGCATACCATTCTCAAAAAGCTTACAGTTATCTCCATAATCGTCTAATCTCCTAGAACTGGTTCTAGACTCTAAATACAACTATCTGGTCGACATATATGTTTCAAAACGTTAGACCCTTCTATAAGTTTCCATAGCGCAATTAAAAGACGAAGTTTATCTGAACAATGTAATGTATTTGCGCAATACGTTCCGAACAATCAGACCACAGATTTACTTGTCAAGTCAGTATATATCATCCATCGTATCTAGTGTACTGATGCGATAGATTCTATTGAACAGACATTAGATCGACGAAGTCCACTTCACATTCGAAGGCGAACGCTTCTGACAGGTTGACGGTGGAGCTATGGACCTCTAGGACCACTACTAGCTGATATATATATATATATATATCATTTATTGAAAATTTGGCTGGTGATGTCATCGCTAAAGTTTTTCTTTACTAGAGATATGTTGTGATGTCATAGTGACTTGTGATAGGCATGAGGATATGGCTTGTCTATTAAAAAGTCTTAACACGTGCAAACTCACATCAGCCTAACTTTGAGAAAGAGAACAATAATCATCTGCGACTCTCAGACGTACTCCTGAGTTGACGAGATGGTCCAATAAGACGGTCAGTTTACAGAAAGTCTGCCTGAATTTTCACTTTTTGTCCAATCCAGTACAAGCGAGGTCTAATAAAACGCCTGTTTAACAATATCTATCGTATCAGATACGATGGATGAAGACATCACATTGCTGACCAAAACGCTTACGGTGAAGTTTATAAACCGTTGTAGAGGTCAAAGAGGCACCGGTTCTACCATACCGAGGGGAGTTGAACGGTTCACTTTTGAGACGTAGGCTGACATCAGCCATTAAGAAAACATATTACACAGCTGATCTTATCATTGTGGAAAAAACAAAACACATGCTTCACCAAAAACCTAGACAGTGCATCAGCGATTGCGTCATATCCCACTGTGTCTATTAGTTTACATGTGTGTGTGTGTGTGTATATGTGTGTGGTCACACATACATAGGGAGGAGCAATCTAGCCATGCAGTTGAGGGTGGGAGAATATGTACCGAAACGGCTTCAAAAACAAATGGGGTGTGAAACTGTGATAAACGCTGGTGGGGGACGATCTTCTTCATCTATAGCTAAACATATCATGGAAACAGGTCACAAAATTAGAGTTCAGACAGCTTTCAAAGTTTTAGATAGAAACAGTCAGGGACGTTTACTGAGATTTGCCGAAGCTATAGGCATACACAAATTTAAACCACTTTTATGTGTACAAAAGCAGTTTGTTCTTACACTACACTTACCTTAGTAAACTTAGTTTTCTTACCAAGATTAGGATCAACTAGGTCACTTCCCGTTTGTTCTCATTTTTCTTAACTTCAATCTTCTATTGTGCTAATTGTTTTATTTGTCCTCCCACTCCTCGGTTTAACATATATTGACTTGACAAGTAAATGTGAGATCAGATTGTTCGGATGCATTGCTCAAATACATTACATTGTTCAGATAAATTTCGTCCTCTAATTTCGCTCTTAATTTATATGTATTCGCTAAGTATGATTACTGAAGAGCGATATGAGTTTCGTACTCACGACAATCCAGGTAAAATCTTAAGATTAATATGAATTTTCTGAATATTTAAAGTATTGTTGGTTGTTGGCACTATGTTCTCTATTAATTTATGCTTAACTGGAAAATGTGAGATACCGGACAGCATATTTATGTGAAATTAAAAGTATGTAGGTCTTTCTTATGATGCACAATGCAGGAATATCTTTAAGTCTTATATTGGTTGTCTAAGTCCCCAAGAAATAACTCAAAGCTATGTACATTTAGTTGCATTTATTAAGAAAGAATTAGCTGTTCATAATTTGAATGATAATTTTGAAGTTGTTAGTAGGTTTGTAGAATGACGTTACGATAAGGAAGGATCATACAGTGTCTTTGGATTTCTAATCACTTACGAAATTGTCACGTTAAGAAGCTATTCATACCATATTCAGTCATGTTGACACTGTAGACTTTCCGTCTAATAAACAGAAAGACTTACTGTTCGTATGTACAAAAATTTGCATTTTCAGTCAAATAGTTCTTATCACAGATGAACTGGTGTTGTAACAGGTAGTCAGCCCACTGAGTCTTATAATTGTGAACATATTTCCAACCCACTTCGAGAATATCAAAGTAGATGATGCAGTCAAACAAACTAAGTCGTGTTTGAGATATGTAGATGATACTTCATCAAATTTCAGTGTAACAACTATGCTAGGAATGTACTCAAGTCATTCATAGCAGTGCATTCAGATGTAGGATCCAAATATGAACATGAAACCTTAAGTGGGATGAATTTTTAGATTTGAGTATTAAAAGAAATGAAAATGGTTCAGTCCTGTGTAGAGTTTATCGCAAGCTTATTTGCACCATTCGGTATTCATCATTTGATGGTTTTTGTCCCACTGCTTATCAAAGGAGTTCAGTCAAAACTTTGTATTAAGAGCAGACAGATTATGATCCAAAGAAGTAATCGAAAGTGAATTGGAAAATATTCGATAAACATTGTTGGAAATAGATGTTTCATAAAGTTTATTCATAAGTACTTTGATTCTAAAAAGTAGAAACTGACCGAAATAACCATGTCGAAACAGAACTTATTCTTAAGACTACCAATCAAAGGCGACGAGCTGAGTTCATAAAATAATCGCACCTACTTATTCTGTTGTAAGATTATAAGTTGTCGGTAACATGAAGAACGTGGTCAGAGAAACAAATCTAAATGTTAGCTGTCCTCATAATACCTTCGATTGTATCTGTTTATTCACCCGCACTTACAGTAGCATGTATGCCGGAAGAATAGAGAGAGTTCTTACTAAAAGAATCTCTGAATATGTACCAAGTATTTTATCTCATCTTTGGTTGACACATCATCGATACGGGTCATGCTGTCGACTTAAATGTTACTTTCAAGGTAATTAACAAAGTAGGAGCAGAAGCAATCTGTCAGTTGAACTTATGTGTAAAAAAGGAGTTTGTGGTTCACATTGAATTGCCTTGTTGATTTGCTCTTTTCCTACAGCCTTATTTACCAATTTATTCTCTGATCTTACTGCCGTCTTATTCTCACACATTAGTGCATCCTTATTGATCGCTCTACCATTCGCGTATGCACTCTGGTTACTATCGTTGTTGTTCTCCACCTTTTTCAGATTTACTACCACCTTGAACTGTATGTGTACTCCTATGCCACTATTATGTCGTATTATTTTCTTTGTGTTTACTACTCGACTTCATATTCCGATGTGTAATCTTAGGAAGCGATTTCTACTGGTACCTTGTATTTGTTGATTAAGTCGTGAATTTTGTCATTCATCTTTGTTCTTATATATATTGGTGTCTATATACGAATGATGTCTTTGGTGTTGATTTTGCTATTGAACTGTATCCGATGACTGATAGTGAACAGTGACAGTTTATTATATACAACGTTTTAACTCAGTGCGTATGTGGAAGATTCAGAACACAGGAAATGAATTCAATTCGTCGCAAAATGTTTGTTGTTCTTGCATGGCGAAAATTAATCAATTATTATAATATAGAGGTAGTATTCATCATGGACTGACATCAGTTGAGGAACCATTGAAAATCTGGGAGCATTGGACAGCTGTTTCGTCCTAGGATGGGACTCCTCAGCAGTACGCACCCACGACCCGGCTAGGGATCGAACTCAGGACCTTCGGTTTTCACGGAGAACGCGTTAACCATTCAGCCACTGGGTTGGTTTTCAGTGGTTCGAAATTTCCAACTTTTGTCACTTCACAATATATAGCACGACTATCACCCAAGGTCTTCAGTTAGCATCCACTTCACTCCCATACTGCTGAGGAGTCACATATTAGGACGAAACAGCTGTCCAGTGCTCCCAGGTTTTCAGTGATTCCCCAAGTGATGTCAGTCTATGATGAATACTACCTCTAAATTAAAATCCCCATTC